AACTTCATTCCTTTTGATGACTGAATAGTACTTCATTATAGGTGTACACACCATATTTTATCTGTTCATCTGTTGATGAACTCTTGGGCTGTTTCTACCTTTTAGTTATTGGGGGAATAATGCTGCTGTGAACACATGTACATGTAACTTTGAGTTCCTGCTTTCAATTCTTTTCATTTTATTTCATTTCTTTTGAGACAGGGTCTTGCTCTGTTGCCCAGGCTGGAGTGCAGTGGTGTGATCATAGCTTACTGGAGCCTCGGATTCACGGGCTCAAGTGATCCTCTTGCCTCAACTTCCTGAGTAGCTGAGACTACGGGTGCACACCACCATGCCTGGCTAATTTTTAAGTTTTTTTTTTTTTTTGTAGAGACAGGGTCTCATGATGTCTCCCAAGCTAGTCCTGAACTTTTCAACTCAAGTGATCCTCTCACTTTGGCCTCCCAAAGTTCTGGGATGACAGGTGTGAGCCACTGCACCTGGCCTGTTTTTAATTCTTTACGCTGTATACCCAGGAGTGGAATTGTTGGATCATATGGTAATACTGTGCTTAGCTTTTTCAGGAACGGGGACCTTGCTTATTAATTTTGCACTGAGAACTGAAAATGATATAGCCTGACCGAGATTATGAATTTTGTAAATCCTCTAGCAAGACCAGCTATATCATTTGCAGTGGTACAATCTCGGCTCACTGCAACCTCTGCCTCCCAGGTTCAAGCAGTTCTCCTGCCTCAGCCTCCTGAGTAGCTGGGACTATAGGCGCCCGCCCCCATGCCCAACTAATTTTTGTATTTTTAGTAGAGACAGGGTTTCACCGTATTGGCCAGGCTGGTCTTAAACTCCTGACCTTGTGATCCGCCCGCCTCGGCCTCCCAAAGTGCTGGGATGACAGGTGTGAGCCACTGTGCCTGGCCACACTGTGGTTTTCATTTACACTCTCATTCATATTGTTTTTCTCCTATAGGTAAAAAGTCATTTCTCTCTTGCTGCTCTCAAGATATTTTTGTTGTCGTTAGTTTTCAGAAGTGTAATTATGTGTCTGGGTGTAGATTTCTTTGGATTTATCCTATTGGGTTTTACTCAGATTCTTGAATCTGTGGGTTTATATATTTTGCCAAATTTGATAAAATTTCAGCCATTTAAAAAAAAATCACTTATAAAGTTGACTCCGTCTTGTCTAGAACTGTACGTGCAGCATAGCCATTTTCACCAAACTTCTGTACAGGTGAAATGGCCTGTGAGAAGTGGGATTTATGTGAAATGAGAGTCCATAGAGATATCTCTGGTTTATTTATTTATTTATTTATTTTATTTTATTTTTTTTGAGATGAAATATCACTCTTGTCTCCCAGACTGGACTGCAATGGCACGATCTCGGCTCACTGCAGCCTCCATCTCTTGACAGACCACGGGTTCAAGCGATTCTCTTGCCTCAGCCACCCGAGTAGCTGAGATTACAGGCGCCCACCACCAGGCCCGGCTAATTTTTGTATTTTTAGTAGAGACGGGGTGTCACCACGTTGGCCACGCTGGTCTCGAACTCCTGACCTCAGGTGATCCGCCTGCCTCGGCCTCCCAAAGTGCTGAGATTACAGGTGTGAGCCACCACGCCCGGCCTATTTATTTAAAAATTGCTATGTCTTTTTTT